CACTAAAAATTTCCATAGCAGTACCCTCCTTAAGTTAGAGGATGTTTCTCTTCATTTTCATACAGAAAGTTCTTTCTTTTATCCATGAAAAAAAAAAAGAGATCTGGGTACAAACATACTGTTAGATAAAAATAAAACTTACTGTTGGATACATCAGTATGGTGGCAATAGTTAACAATGTATTGCACATTTCAAAGTAGCTAGAAGAACATAACTAAAATGTTCCTGCATAAAGGTAAATATTCAAGGTGATGAATATCCTGATTACCCCGATTTTGTTTTTACACAGGATGTGAATGGATCAAATTATCAAATGTACCCTGAAAATATGTACATTACGTATTGATAAAAACTCTGTACAAGGTGTGTATCTAATATTGCATTTCATTTGCATATATCTAAATAAAACAAGCTTAGTGCCACTCTCTAATGAGTCTGCTAAGTAAGCTAACCAAACTCTCCAAAAAAATAATTTTTTCTAAACTACTAATTTTTGAAAATGTATTTTATGACCTTTATATTTTCCCAAAGAATGACTAAGTCTAAACAATAAAGGCCAAAACAATATTGAAAGTGAAAAATATTTAGTCTCATAAACATTCCCACATCAAAAAGGCCTGATTACTTTGAACAGGGTATTATGGGTTTCTGTAAACAGATTTGGTGTTGCATGTTTGGTGCGTCTGCCATGTGATTCAGTGCCATGGAAAGTTTCGTGTGTTTAGTAAATAATTCCCAGTTAAATTCCAAGTAATTGCTCATTGCAGGAAGTCAAACTTCTAAGTCTAACCTCACCCATGATAACCAAAACAAAACAAAACAAAAATCAGTGTTCTGCTAACTGACAGCATACACCCATTTGTCCTCCAAAGGATCATGCATACTAAAAGGATGATTCCTCTATCTCGTGGACACAGAGCAAATGTGGACCTTTGAGATGAAAAAACTGATGTCAGTGATACCCTATACATTCAGATCTTTAGGACCAAAGCTGTAATAGAGCAGTGAAACCGGTTCCTTTATCATTATGAGTTGACCTAACACGGAGTTTCACAATCAAGAATGTTTCCCAGATGTCCTTTATAATGAACAGAAAACCTTAAAAACCAAGACAATAGAGAAAAATGATAGTAATTTAATTATGTTATCGAGTAGAGCAATATGGTTTATATTTTGTGATACAAGACCAGTACATACAGCTTTATCTAATTTTGTTACCAAAAGTATTTATTTTTTTGTTTCATATTCTGTTTTGGAGATTCTTGTAATTCTCATAAATCTTTTACATTTTTTTTTTTTAAAAAACAAAAACTTACAGAACTGCTTTGGTAACTTTCTCACTTATAAGACTCCCAGATCTTCAGTCACAGGAACAAAAGAAAACACAGAATTCAGGAGAAGGGAGAGGGTAAGACAGCGCCTCTGCTTTATCCCACAGCCTCTCCACAGCTTGGTTTTTTTTTTTAACTCTGCCAACTGGTGCCATCTTTTTCAGTGTCCCCATTCAATTAAAGTGCTCACTAAGCCAACATTACTTCCAAAAGTTCTATTTCCCACTGTATTATAACTTAGTGAAGTGACAGTTTAATGGAGAAGAAATAAGAGAAAATGGATAGAGTAAAATGATACATACTCCCCACCATGCTGCCACGTTTAATATGCTCCTCAGCCTTCATCTGATGGATCCAACTCCCCTACTGTCTTCCACTGTGCTTTGATCAAGATGTCTGACAAAAGAACAGCTCCCTCTCTGAACTCTATAAAATATATATACTATAATGAATAATTTCTCAGTAAAAGGAAATAAGAGAGCAGGTGAAGTTTGTGGTCACATATGGAAGGGAAAGAAAACCCAGGCTCAGTTCCAGAGAGTCTGTGTGTCAGAGTGAGATATGTATGTGTAACACATCCCTGGACACGGCCAGCACACCATCCTCTGTCTCCACTTTCTCATCCAACAAAGGCTATAATGTGGAAGTTCTGACATCTGCATTTTACAAATGAAGAACCTGGGACCTATAAAACTTACATTGCTTGTCCAAGGTGATATAACTAGTTTTTCCAACGTGGGGTGGGGGCAACAGACATTAGTTCAGCAAAAGAAACAATCAGTTATAATAGTTTATGGGAGCTTTTAAACCTTGAACTTATGTGCTTATATTGCTAAATCCCTAAGCATGTAAAATCCACAGGTTAAAGACAAAACTGCTTACAAGACTTTAGTTATTTTATAGGCTTTAAAATATTTACTGTCACAAAAGTTCACATGTGAAACTGAAAAATACAGTTACAAATATGTGCATTAAAAAATGATCATAGAGATATTTTCAAGTTTCAACAAAATTAAGACTACATACTCTAAACTTTTGGCTTGAGCTATTCATGCCAGAAATATTATGTCTCTGTAAGTTCAGTGCTAGATCATCAAATACAGATTTTTAGGTGATTAGAACAGATTCCTCAAACATAATTCTGTATCATGGACCTTAGTGATGACTTGTATAGCAAAGTTAGATTCATAATGACAAATGAATATGTTACACATAAAATTATTTAAAATTATATTTGAAAGAGACTTAGTCTTATTTAATTTTGTTACCAAAAAATTTCATTTTATTGTTCCATATCCTGTTTTGGGGATTTTTATAGTAATTCTCATAAATATTTTACAATTGTTTAAAAAAAAATTTACAAAACTGCTTTGGTAACTTTTGTATTTGTCCCTTATTTCTTTGTAAGTATTAAACTAGGAAAGCTCATTTTAATTATCCAAAGTCATGTTTATAAAATTATTTTAGAAAGATAAGGCCTGGTTTAAATTGATTCAACAAACTGTAAAAGCAAGCTTTATATTGCACTTCTAATCTAAAGTAAGAATTTCAAATCATTCCAAATTATTGTACATGAGTTACTGAGCACTGGATAATAGAGTCAGAAAACTTTATGCTGTATATAAATGGCCAAGCCAATAACATAATCCTTAAGTCTAACATTAAGCTATCTACAAATAGGTTGTTTTAACTGATAAATTTTCTTTTTGAGTTTGCATGTTAAATCTGAATTTCAAGTAAACAACAAAGATTTTTTAAATTCAAGTATTCTCCATGTAACCATTGGGACACACAGTAAAAATTATTGTTTATGTGAAATTCAAATTTAACTGGACATCATATATATAACCGGGCAACATTACTCTACTGAAAAGTCAGCTTCAGTACAGTGCAGACGGACACTTTTTGCCTGGCCAAGAGAGCTACAGGAATTATTTATGCTCTTCAATTTCTGTTTGAGATTTGCCTCAACAAGCTCTATTTTCTAACTGCACAATGTGACAATAGCAGTGTTTGTCCATGACTCCTTTAGACAACATGAGAAAATGAACAGATTTTTCCCACTGTAATCATCTGAATACAACCAAAAAAGATTTTTTTTTGAGATAGGGCCTCACTCTGTTGCCCAGACTGGAGTGCAGGGCAGCAAATCTCTGCTCACTGCAATCTCCAGCTCCTGGGTTCAAGCGATTCTCTCACCTCAGCCTCCCAGGTAGGTGGGACTACAGGTGCCCACCACCATGCCCAGCTAATTTTTTTCATTTTTTTTTGTAGACAGGTGTTTCACCATGTTGGCTAGGCTAGTCTGGAGTTCCTGACCTCAAGCAATCCGCCCACCTTTCCCAAAGTGCTAGGATTACAGGTGTGAGCCACTGCACCAGCCCAAAAATAATTTCTTAAAGAGAAAATATTACTGATCATGGATGAAGATCTGAATTCTGTTACTCTGCCAGTTATCTGCCCTTGGGCAAATATATATAACATCTTGGGCCTTGGTTCCCCTGACTTCAGTAGTCCCCAACAACATTAACATTTTGTAATTCTATTATTCTAGGTGAAGTAAAATGTGTCTAGTTCTTAATAACTGTGGTCAGGCTTGCTTATTTTGGAAGCAGAGAGAACAACAACCTCTAAGTTAAAAAAAAAAAAAAAAAACCAAGGGACTAGCTAAAACATAATCCTTATATTTCATTAAAATGCATGGTTTTAGAAGAAATGTTACCCACAGGTTAAAAATGCAGCTGAAAATTTTCACAAACAATAGCTGTTATCACCCATAAATAACTTTAAATAAATGTCATTCGCTGGACATTCAGTACCAAATTACTTTTATCTGAGACCACTAAAAAAGGCAGTGCACAGTTTAACTTGCGAGACTCTTGTATGTTACCACCAAGAAATTAAAAAGCAGTCGCAAATCCAATGAAAGCTATCTATGCACAAAGGACAAATCTATAGATTCTCCAAATTTTTCTCCTAATTCTATTTTCTGATAGAGTCTCCAAATTCTTTGTTCTAAATAGCATTTCTCTGCACAAAGAATCTCTAACGCTAGCTCATTGTGCCTGCAGTGCAGTTAACATGCAGCTATTAAAGAAAGTGACAATAAATGCATTTCTCTAGGTCACTACCATGCCCTCTTGTAATCTGAATGCCAGGCAGTGCTTTCAAATGATTAAATAATCTGTTAAGGGAGAGAAACAACTGACTACCAATATATTCAACATAATGTAAAAATAAACAATCTCAAATTATACCAGTGGACAAGGATTGTGGCTTTGCAAGGTTGCAGGATAAATATAAGAATTTGGTTATATTTGAAATTCAAATTTCTTATTTGGAATACAGTTCCAAAAAGCATTATATATTTCAAATTCAATATTAACTGAGCAAATTGTACTTTTATTTGATGACCCTGACAGTTCTATTTGGGATACCTAGTATGAGACATATGCTCATTAGCATTGCCCCACAAATCAAGTTGAATTGGTTTTAATTTTTCTACTAGAGGCAAGAGGTTCTACTATTATAGCACACATATAGATGACTAATTTTCCAGCCATAATTCCTGTTATCAAAAATATCTTCCTGCTTTTAACAAATCAGATACCTACCATTAAAACTATAGTCTACATAACATAACATTCAGAAAATAAACATTTTACCTACCTGTGGGTAAGATATGAGAAGACCACATAACCAAATATTTCTTTTTTTTACTTCCTTTGCAAATTCTCTAATCAGCATTAGGCTTTCCATTTTCTCACTGGGAGGTACTAATTTAAAATCAAGAAAATGAACCTGTAAAATATAAAAGACAATCTTTAGAATATCATTCCTTTCAACTTTCTCTTGAGGAAAAAAACATTAAAGAAACCTAAAACCCATATGATTACAATATTGCAATAATCTTTATCAATTTGTGTTAATTTCTACTTTTGCCTCAAGTCATACTTAAGATCAATGAATCCTCTCTTATAAATACAGATGTAGTAAACACTGAGAACACAATGGTAAAAAACCAAATGCTAATATTCTATTTCACTTAAGAGTCGGATACATAAAGGATGTGTAATTTCATTAAATCATTCAACCTAATTCATAATCTTTTACTAGGCAAGACAGAAATACAGTCTTACATACACTAAGAAATTAACAATATAAATAAAATTCAAGAAGAGTGATTATCCAATTAAGTAACTTAAGTTTTTTAAGAGAATCTCTTTCAATGTGATCAATAATTGTCATCTCTAACAAATAATTATTTCTTAAAGTAAACCAAGAGGGCTTTTATGGAGACTATTTTTAAGCAGTTATAATGTTTTTCTTGAAAACATTCTAGTGACCATTTTTAAAACATTTTTAATTTTTTTATTGATACATAATACTCCTACTACTTACGGGGCACTGTGACATTTTGTTACATACATAGAATGTGTATTGATCAAGTCAGTGTATCATCTTGAACGTTTATCATTTTTATATTTTGGGAACATTTAAAGTCCTCTCTTCTAACTATTTTTAAAAACACAATACATTAACCCTTGTCACTCTTGGCCAGGCATGGTGGCTTACTCCTGTAATCCCAGCAGTATGGGAGGCAGAGGCTGAGACACGCAGATCGCTTGAGCCGACAAGTTTGAGACCAGCCTAGGGAACAAGGTGAAATGCTGTCTCTACAAAAAATACAAAAACTACCAGGTATGGTGGCATGCGCCTGTAACTTATTACATACCCCCATGCCAGCTGGACTAAGGAACAACACTGCTGCTTAATGTTTAAAACCCTCAACACACTATTTAACTTTTTGAACTACAGAAATACCTTTATTACTTAGATACCATCTACAAACTGACTTATTTTTATGTTATCCCATCATATCAATGACTTAAATTACAGAGAAACATTTAAGACATTAAGGAAACATAGGAGAAGTATTTTCAGGGTCTTTTCATGAATTAACTTAAGCACAGATACAGAACGCAACCTTATGAAATGCATAATTAGGGTGACGAAATTCAAGCATGAAGAAGTAGGATGTACCTCAAAATTCCCTTTTACCAGATGCAAAGGCCTGATGACAACATGAAAACAGAAGACAATCTCCTGCAGATGTTCTTCCTAATACCATGAAACTTCAGCATATACTTTACAAAGTGCTACTAAGTTTCAACTTCTAAAATATACCAACTACTTATGTATTCCCAAAAAAAAATTCAGTTCGTACAAAACCACAGTTTTAATTAAAATACGCACGCGCGCGCACACACACACACACACACACACAGAGGGCACTTTTATACAACCACAGCAGAAGGTTACAAAAGGGTAACTCAAGAGAAATGTAAATTTTGTTGCCTTAATAAAATAAGCTTACAGCCAGGACAGGCTTGCATCCATTGAAATACAGCCAAATATTTCATGTAGGTTGAGTTCTGCAAATTTGCTTATAGCTACTTATCGACTAGGTATTTTTGATGTCTTTTTGTACTGTTTATTAATTCACTACATAGCAATTACAATAAAACAGTATTTCCCATGCAGCATGACATTTCCAACAGTTCTTTCTCATGTATACATAGAAAAGATAAGGCTATCCTTCTGCCCTCCAAGAAAGAATATCTAATTTCATTTTAATGAAAGGTAGCGCATTTACTCTTATAAACTGGTAAACTACTTAAACATTTAACATGTGGTTAGCCTCATGGCTTTGTGGGTGGGCAAAGTTTCTGGATCTCAGTGTTCAGAAAAGACTCCTCTGTGCCTTGTGTGTCTTCTATACTCAGCTCTATACAAACTTTATATTTGTCTAGGAATCATTTAATATATTTCTGGTCCCAGATGAATTCTAGTTAACTTTTAATATTTTAAAATAACATTTTTTTTTTTTACTTCTGAGAATAGATATGTTAATTAAAGGACTGTAAGTATGAAGCCCGAGATTCTTTAAAACCCCACATTTAACGCTTTCCTCTCACTGCAGAGGCTATGTTCACAATAAAAGGCACTCAAAGGGAGTCAGGATTGGTGGTATGAAGGGAAATCATCTCTGTTCATTTCTCTAAGAAGAAAGTTAATTTGCAAATCTTAAGTATATACCTAAAAAATGCATTGCTTAATGCCCACCAAAGTGGAAAGAAGAATAGTCAAAATGAAAGTTTGTATTATAAGTTAGAATTGGTAGATAAACCAGAGAGATTCTTTGGATCTACATAATAGCTGCAAAATTATCAACATGTGCATAAAAAATTGTACTAGGAAGACTCAATATCTTCAAAACCTAATTTTTCAAAAGAAATATAATGATTCTAAAAACAGATGAAACTAGTCAATACTAAACAGCTCCAAGTAATATTAGATCTGAAGGATTAGAAAAGATTTTAGAAAAACTGTCTTTATTTCCAACTATTTAAGAATAAAATACTATTAATTCAATAAACTATGCTTTCAAAAGAGTAAACTTCTACTACTGAACCACTTCATTGTAGAACAATTTTAAATCAGAGTCATCATCAAAGTCAACTCATAATTCTGAGGAATAGAAACGAAATCATAAGCTATCATGGAAACTCAAAGCAAATGTGTAGCAACTCACTGGTAAATCTCCACAAAATAAAATACCAGCAAAACTAAATGGAAAAATAATGGCATTTAACAAAAGGTAGTAAATAAAACACACCGCAGTAAAACATTAACCATACAAAACATTCAAATGTTTCTTTTGATTCAAAGAATTAAAAATGAAATGAGTTTCATAATATCAGTACAAATGTTATGAGTACACACTGTTTCAGATCCTTATTCAAAACATCAAAGTAATGAACTAGAAATTCACATTTTAAAAAGTGAATAGGAAAGCTTAACATTGCTTCAAAAGTATTTTTAAAGTAGTAAAATACATATTTTTTCAAATTATTTTACAAGGTGGTCTCTCTTACAAGAACATTAACACTGTTATATTATGGCATAATTATCTCAAGCATTACATACATCTACAATACCTTAATTAACATCTGTAACAAATTTTAGAATCAAAAGTTAAAAACAATCCCACTGATTAATATAAAGCATTGATTTGTTTAGCTAACTATAAAACATAATTCTATGCTCATTTGCTTTCTCCAAGAAAACTGACAGAATATAAATCACCAAAGAGATTACAAAAAAAAAAAAGCAGGTATACACTTCTTCAAAATTTAACTGAGTTTACAATATCATATTTTAGTAAATTGTCAAAATTTCATTTTACATTATAAAAACTATTACTGCTTAAGCATCAATCTGTAATTATCAAGGTTCTCTGAAGGCCATGTAGGCATGCATTACTTGTCATTTAAAAAAAAAATCCTGAACTGTTTTAGAGTTTACTTCACAAATAAAGAGGACTTATGCATTTAGGCCAACTACTACAAGTCTATCATGCTACTTTTAATCTGTAAGAATTGATTCTGTGCTATGTACCTACTTATGCAAGTTTTTTAATAAATATATTGAATGTGTTCCAAAGGCAAAATAATCTTAAAAATATTTTTTTAGAAGATCAGGCATTCAGAATACACAGAAAAAAAATATTCAAAGATATGACCAAGATGCCTGTAAGGCAGGTATATACTGTATCTAAGTAATATTAGAATAATCTCCAGTGATTCATCCTCTGCCTTTTCTTGTGTATGACCCAAATCATTACAAGTTTTTGTAATCAGTAATTATTTAGTAAACTCAGGAAAAATGCTTTGGTAAAATAATCTTAGGTTTCTTTGATCACAGGAAATAATCTAGTAACCAAAAACGATGTAGATATGTAAGATTAACATGTTATATATTTATTTATTGTGAATTTTTTATTAAAATGTGAAAATATTTTTATTTATAAGGCCAACAAACATATGAAAAAATGCTCATCATCACTGATCATTAGAGAAACGCAAATCAAAACCACATTGAGATACCATCTCACACCAGTTAGAATGGCAATCATTAAAAATTCTGGAGACGACAGACGCTGGAGAGGATGTGGAGAAAAAGGAACACTTTTACACTGTTGGTGGGAGCATAAATTAGTTCAACCATTATGGAAGACAGTGTGGCAAGTACTCAAGGATCTAGAAAGAGGAAAATTCCATTTGACCCAGCAATCCCATTGCTGGGTATATACCCAAAGGATTATAAATTGTTCTATTATAAAGACACATGCACACGTATGTTTGTTATGGCACTGTTTACAATAACAAAGACCTGGAACCAACTCAAATGCCCATCAATGGTAGACTGGACAAAGAAAATGTGGCACACATATAACATGGAATACTATGCAGTCATAAAAAACAAGTTTGTGTCCTTTGTAGAGACATGGATGAATCTAGAAACCATCATTTTCAGCAAACTGACACAAGAACAGAAAACCAAACACCATATGTTTTCACTCATAGGTGGGTGATAAACAGTGAGAACACTTGAGCACAGGGAAGGGAACAACACTCAGTGGGCTAGGTTGGGAGGTGGAGGGGGGAGGGAAGGGACAGTGCGGGGGGGGCAGGGCAGATAGGGAGGGATAACACTGGGAGAAACGCCTGATGTAGGCGACAGGGGTGGGGGGTTTGGGGGATGGGGGCGTGGGGATGTGGCATGTACGTACTTAAGCAACAATCCTGCAGGATGCAGGCTGGGCACATGTGCCACAGGGTCCAAAGTACAAAAAAAAAAGTGAAAATATGTGAAAAAACTATGTTAAAAAATGTAAAAATAATGACCATAGACAAAAATATAATAGCAGGAAGTTATAGTTACAGTGCTTCCAATAA